CCACTGCTCTCACAGAAACACACACCGTTTATCTGCTAAGCCAGAAAGGTTGGAGGCGGCTGATTTAAGCGATCAGAAAAGATCACTTCTTGCCTTGTCTCGTCCTTCCTGACCACTTTTTCCCATGCCTGTAAAATTTGGAACTCTAGATCGCAAGTATTATTATTATTTTTTGAAACAAGATAGGCATCTCAACATACGACTCCGTCGATGATCCTGGCTTAAACCTTCCAGTGGAAATTTCCAGGTTGCAAAAGAAAAGAAACGGCTCCTTGTTAAAAGTCCCCCCCCTCCCACTTCTTCTATCAAACCAGGATATTTTTTAAAAAAAATCTTTTGAATTCACCCCTTTTTTTTCTAGAGACCCAAGGCTTAGCACCTTATATGTTTTTCCAAAGCTTTACAATGATTTTTGCAACCCAACTGTGTTGGAGTTGGCAGAATTAGAGCTTGTGTGTTGTGCTCTCTGGAAGGAAAAACACTATTTTGCTTGCCTTTTTAAAAAATAAAATAAAATAAAATCCCCTCCCCTTTTGGGTTCGAGGCCCCGCATGAGGGATGCAACTGCTTAAGGGGCCTCAGCTGTCTGAGATTCTCAGGAAAAGAGCTTATTTAGCCAGAGGGCTTAAACGGGTATCAGGTGACAGTTCAACCTTGTTTTGCTAGCTCTCTAGCTAGAGTCGGGCAAAGGAGGCGGCAGTCGGGCCGTTGCTAAGGAACTGAATTCCCCACCTTGGTTTTATTTTTATTTTTTTTTCCAGAATGGGAAATCGCTCCAGCAAAGCTTTGAAATTCTGCTAAAAACACAGAGGGGAATTATTTAACCAGGCTAGCCGGGGGGCGGGGGGGAGAACGGAAGGGGGCATGGATGTGGCAGATTTGCAAAGCAAGAAAAGATATTCCAGTCTTAATTTTCACCGGCAAGAGGGTTATTAATAAGTCAAGACCTCCCCTGTTTCCCCCTCCAGCAATCGAGAGTGAAAACGATGTATATAAGCCTGGGTAATTAAGGTTGGGGAGTTTGCTTTTGAGGACAGCTTTTTATCTGCCGTTTAACGGGGAGAACTGCTAATAGGTATAAATTGACATAATTTCTTGGATGAAGAAATGTTTTGGGGGGGTTTCCCGCCCTCCTGCAAGCTGATAAAATGACTCTCAACGGCTGGTCTCCCTTTTAGAAAGCAACTGATGAAGGCAGATGCTCCAATCCACCCCATTCCTGTCCCCGTCATTAGTTCTTGGAGGTGTTTTTCCCAACCTGGCCTCTCCAAGGGAATGTGGAAATTCAGCTCCCAGGCAGCTGTTGGCGTACAGCGTACAACCGCAGTTGGGCCCCAGCCTTTCTGTGGCTAAGTGAGACAGCTGTTAAGTGAGCTTTGCCTCATTTTACAACCTTTCCTGCTCCGGTTGTTAATCTCTAAATCACGTGGCCATAGGGGGATGCTACAATGGTCGTATGCGGGGAAAATGGTCCCAACTTAAAGTTGCTTCGTTCAGGGCCGTTGTGACTTCAAACAGTCGCATGATGAACTGTTGTCAGTCGAAAAGTATGTACCGCCTGCCACGTATACTACCTGTAGACTTTAGAAAAGGGGGAAAAATATATATATAATTCCCAAGATGAGAGAGAAGTGGAACGTTTCCTCCCGTGGAGCAATGCCCCAACCCCAGGATTGGTGAGGCTTTGAAGAAGTGGCAAGGAATTCCCCAGGACAGAGAGAGAGAGAGAGAAAGAGAGAAAGAAAGAAAGAAAGAAAGAAAGAAAGAAAGAAAGAAAGAAAGAGGAGAGGGAGAGGGACACAGAGGGTGTGTGAGAGAGAGGGAGACACAGAGGGAAAGAGGGAGCGAGACGGGGAGGGAGGGAGACACAGGAAGAGAGGGAACGAGAGAAGAAGGGGGAGGGAGAGAGGAGGGAAAGGGGGGAGGGAGAGGAACACGGAGGGTGAGGGAGAGAGGGAGACATGAAGGAAGAGAGGGGGAAGGGAGGGAGAGGGAGGGAGGGAGAGGAACACGGAGGGTGTGAGAGGGAGGGAAGGAGACAGAAAGGAAGAAAGGGAAAAGGGGCGAGAGGGAGGGGAACACGGAGGGTGAAGGGGGAGAGGGAGACCCAAAGGAAGAGAGCGGGAAAGAGGGAGGGTGAAAGGGGGAGGGAGAGGGACCCAGAGAGAGGGAGAGTTTGCAGCCCCTTTGGCCAGAAACCCAAAAGGGCAGCAGCTGAGTTATGCGGCCTCCCGGTCGCAAACGTCACTGCATGCCAAAGGAAGGGTGCCGTCAGAGAGGCCTTTTCATTCCTCCCTCGTGATCCCGTAGCTCCCCTCCGTTTACAAACCGTCTCTCCCTTCCTCCCATTTCTGGAAGCGCGTTCGAGTGTCAGGCAAGGTCTTCTAACCCACCGGGCCGAGGGAAACTTCCTTTTATGGCAAGCCGGTGGAATGGCCTCAAAGGAAGTGGTCACGTGGGCCTTGCTGGCACAGGTGTCCGCTGGCCTCTCTTTGTGGTATCTCCTCGGCCCTTCCCTTCCTTCGGGCCCCGGGAGCTGCTGCTGCTATCCCTGTCCTTGGTCCCAGCTGGTGGTTTTTAGACAGAGACAAAGAGGCAGCTGGGGAAACGACGGGGGGTGGGGGTGAGATGGATCTTGGTTAAGTTAGATCGGGGCAGATTTCTTGTTGGGTTGGGTCAGCCCGGCGGTTTGCAAATGAAAGAGGAAGAGGAAATACAAGCCAACATCTTCAGAACCTGATTTGGTGTTTAAGACGGAAGGCGGCGTTAAGCAAATATCGGGGAATGGGCATTTCTAATTCCTTTGCCATTGTGGACTGTACAAGACAGTTCTCAACTTACAACAGTTGGTTTAGTGGCCGTTCACAGTGACAATGGCACTGAAAAAAGTGACTTACAACCGTTTTTTCACACTTATGACCATTGCAGCGTCCCCCGTGGTCATGTGATCAGAATTCAGGCGCTTGGCCATTGACTCATATTTATGACGGTTGCAGTGTCCCATATGACCCCCTTGTTGTGACCTTCTGAGAAGCAATCAACTGGGAAGACAGGTTCACTCAACAACCGTGTTACTAACTTAACCATTGCAAAGATTCACTTAGCAACTGTGGCGGGAAAGGTCGCAACATGGGGCAAAAATCCACTTAACAACTGTCTCGCTTACCAGCAGAAATGTTGGGCTCCATTGTGGTCGTAAGTCAAGAACTACCTATCTTGTTTTATTATTATCTTACTTCTTTTCTGTTTGGATCATTTGTCTTCCTTTTTATTGTTGTAAGCCCCCTGGAGTAGCCCCACAGCCAGATAAGCCACCAAAGGGACAGTGTAACTGTCCTACATATGAATCAATTGCCAAGCAGCCAAATTTGGATCATGTGATCAAAATCACATGATCCAAAAGGGATACTGCAGTGTCCGTAAGTACGAAAAAACAGTCATAAACCACCTTTTTTCCAGGGTTGCCGTAACTTCAAACGATTCACTAAACAAATCATTGTAAGTTGAGGACTGCCTGTAGGTATCCAATTTCTTGAATTAGAGCAATCCTGATTCTGGTGTCCAGATCATTTTTGAGTTTGATCTACAGTGTTTGAAGGTAGCAAGGGATGGCATCCTTCCTCACTGAGATGCCCTGAAGGCGCATTGACTACCTAACTCCCAACCACCATGGGGTTCCTGACCAAGCAAAGCTAGTTAGGAATGAGGAGTCAACTTTAACAATCTCTTTTTGTCTTAAAAGGTGCGAGTCTATGTCTTGGCTTTCCCCACCCGAAGCAAAGGTGTACCCTACTTGCATGCTATCTCATGAAAATGCTTCTTTAGTGTCCTGGAACCAAACATGGTTGGAGATTCTCAGCCATCCAGATCACGGTTGTCCCAAAAGTGCCTTTTTTTTTCAGGAGGCAACTGGACTTCCTAGTTTTTCTTTGAAGATGTTTTGCTTCTCATCCAAGAAGCTGAAGAAGATTCTTGGATGAGAAGTGAAACGACTTCAAAGAAAGACCAGAAAGTCCAATTGCAGAGGTGGTATTCAGCCGATTCGGACCGGTTCTGCCATACCAGTAGTGGAAACTTTGACTAGTTTGGAGAACTGGTAAATACCACCTCTGATTGGCCCCAGCCTGCTGCCCCCGCCGTTACCTCTCCTATATTCCCTTGTTCTTTTAGCTTAGCTGGTTCACATGGCAGAGCGGATTGCCACGCCTCAGCTGAGCTAAAAAAACAACTTAGCTTACCAACGTTGACAGAAGTCGGTCTTTGCCCCCCCCACCCCCCCCCCACCCCCGTGTGCACGCATGAAGCGTGCATGCCATAGAACCACGCATAGAACTGGCAGGAAACAATTTGGAAACCCACCACTGTCTAGTTGCCTCTTGAAAAAGCACCTTTGGGACATAGTTTTTTTGCTGATCAAGAGCTAAACCCAAGTGTCAGGATTCCTGCAATTACCCCTATTTAAATCGTGAGTCTCGAGCCAAACTTCCAAAACTTCAAAAGGATTTATTGGGAATTAACATGTCCGGCACTGCCTGGGTGTAGCTGACTCTGAGACACGTCATTCACTGTCACCCCTGACCCTGGTTTTCCCTCCATCCCCTGGGTGTATCGTAATTCATATTCTCCAATGGGACACATCCATAGCCCAGAGTCATCAATCATGCTCTCCAGTTAGAATTTTGCTGGGCAGAAACTTTGGTCACCTAGTTACTATCTTTGAAAACATTTGTGGAATGCGCTTTCGGTTTTGCAAGCTGCTGCGCTGCTTCCCCCTCCTGTTGCCCTTTCTGTTGGCAACTCTCAAAAGACCATAGAAACATTTTATGAGTTGACACCAAGTCCTTCTCAAATGAGACCATGTCCGCTTTCCTCTCTTCTGTTTCCCAGCTTCGAACTGATGCGCATGTGCTGGCAGTACAACCCCAAGATGCGCCCGTCTTTCCTGGAGATCATCGGCAGCATCAAGGACGAGCTGGACCCGGCCTTCAAAGAGGTCTCCTTCTTCTACAGCGACGAGAACAAGCCTCCCGACACGGAAGAGCTTGACTTGGAGACAGAGAACATGGAGAGCATTCCTTTAGATCCTTCCTCCACCCTCCAGCCTTCTGACAAACACTCAGGACACAAAGCCGAGAACGGCCCAGGCGTGATGGTCCTCCGGGCCAGCTTTGAGGAGAGGCAGTCCTATGCCCACATGAATGGAGGACGCAAGAACGAGCGGGCCTTGCCTTTACCCCAGTCTTCAGCCTGCTGACCTTGAGAAACAGGTTGTTGGGTTGTTGGTTTTTGTTTTTGTTTTTGTTTTGTTTCCTTTTCTTGTTTTGCAAATGCAGAAATAACGCGGCTCGTGCATCGGAAGGGGGTTGAGCTGGGAGGAAGGCGAGAGAGCAAGCGAGAAAAAATAACAATATATTCAAAAGCCGACTGTACCTCAGTGGATCTTCAAGAACTGTCATTAACTGCACACAGGAGAATCCTCTCTTCGAATTCGAAGTCGAAATGACTTTTAATTTTTTTTTTCCTCTTTTTTTTTTGTTTCAATATGCAAGCAGGAGATCGGTTCCGAGCAGCAGAACTCTCTCTGTACGTGGGGCACAGTCAGCCTTCTAAAACAAAAAACAAAAAAAACTTTGAATATTAACACTCAATAGCAACAGAAAACAACAAACAAACTTGAGAATCTGATGTGTGTTTCCCCTTTTTCCTCTCCTTTCTTTCTGCTTCATGATGGGAAACATGTCTGTGTGAAGTTCAACTCAATGACCCTTTTTTTTCATTTCTTTTCCGTTTCTTAAAGTTTTACATCCGAGAAAAAAATACAAAAAAAACGACAGGCCAGCAGCTCTCTACTTCCTTTTCCTTGCCTGACACTCTATAGGTTGTTACAAAAAGAGAGAGAAGACTGGATATTATTATTTTTTACTATGATTCCTTATACTTTCTAGGATCGCACAAAAGATATAACTTTTTCCAGCGCTGCCAAACTTTGCCAAAAGAGAGAGAGAAAGAGAGAGAGAGAGAGAGAGAGAGAGAGAGAGAACTTCCTTTTAGAGTTTTCCTTGTTTTCGTTTAGTTTTATTTCATCACGCGCCCCATCGAAACAAAATGCAGACCAATACACTCCCATTTGTATCGTACACCCTGGCGTTTTTAGAAAATTATTATTATTACTATTTTGACTGGACAAAAAACTGTTCTCTCTCTCTCTCTCTCTCTCTCTCTCTTTTCTTAAATAAAAAAGAAACGCGGTGCAGAACCTAAGGGGACGGGGTTGACTTAGCCACCTCGCCCGTTCATTCTGGATACAACTGGCCTGGAGGATCAGAGCAACGAGGGGAGGAAGAGATTCTCCTCGGCGCAGAAATTTCAACCCAGCCCTCCAGAATGGAAATACAGACAAGACAAAACAGGAAGCCTTGTTGCCATGAGTTGTTTCTTCTAGTCTTTGGCAGGCTTGCAGGGGAAAAAAAAAAAAAAAGGAATTAAAATGAAAAAAAGAAAAGAAAAGAAACTTAAGAGAAACACTAAAAAGAAAAAGAAACGGGAGAAGAATGGGCAATTAATCCAGATTCAGGCCTCCAACTCTTCGATGACCTTTTTTTCCCCTCCCTCTGTTATTAAGACTTCAAGGGGTCTTGCAGTTCTATGTTAGACCATGGCTCATTTGCATACACATTTGTCTTTTTGTGTCACTTTTATAACTTTTTTACAGTTCAGATACTCATCTATATGTCTGTACAGGAAAAAAAAAAAGCTGCTATTTTTTTGTTCTTTATCTTTGTGGATTTAATCTATGAAAAAGAAAAAAAAAACCTTCAGGTCAACCCTCTTTTCTTCCCCCCCCCCCCATTTCCCATCCTTCCATTTCCGATGAATTTCTTCCCTCGTGCTTTGTACTCTATATAGAGTTGGACCTTTTCATCTTCATCCCGCCACACCTCTTTTCCCGAAACGCCCATACCTGGATTCGCCATTTGCCATCGATGGTTTTTAACACCTTTGAATGATTTTCCTGGTTTTGTTTTTTGGTTTTTTTTTATTTCTTTCTCTCCTCTTCTGTCTTCTCCTTTCGGGTTTTTTTTTGTTTTGTTTTGAAATATATATATATATATATATAT